AATAGGAAATAGTCCTTTTTATTTTAGCTTTAGTTTTCAATATAATACCTTTTTAAATCTTCTTCTTTAAATAGTTTAACCTTTGAGTGAATTTTTTGTACTATTAATATATAAGCTAGTTTATATGCTACTAATATTTTACTTTTCTATTAATTTAGCTATTTTAGTTATTCCAATAAAGAGAGAATATTAATATCTTTTATTATATATAGTATTACTTGTAGTTAATATCTAAGTAATAATAAAAATAGTGTTTGTTTTATTACTGAGTGAATATGATTATTATATAAAAACTTTATTAATAGTAAATATTCTGTCTAGGTTTTAAAATAATTAGAGTAATAAATTTATAAGTATACTTTAATTTTTTAGTTTGTTCTTTTTATTTGTCTATCTATCTATAAATAAAAAGCTGTTAATATAGATAATATGACTTCTAATTGTTTGTTTATTTTTTGAAATACTTGTAATGAGAATTGTAGTTCTTTATCTAATATTATTCTATTAGGAAGTTTAAATCTTTGATACACATTGTTATAATAGAGTTTTACTATATTAATTACATTAATCATCTTTGTGTATAGAATAAAAACTATTGCCTTTATTAAGTTATGGTTCACTATTATATATATACAGTCAAACCTCTCACAATAAATCTCCTCATACTGAATAACCTCTGATATTAAATTATGATTTTTATTTCTTATGTTAGTTAATAGTGTATATTGAATAAAATTAGATAATGAATAATGAATTAAATAAAAAACCAAATTTATCCATTACAAGAGGTAAAAATATTAGCTAATTATATATCTATTTTTTGCGCTATTCATTCATTTAATTTTTTTATGCCATTATTTATGTTATACAAAATTCCAAATCACCTTTCACACCCTTCAGGAGAAGCATGGACTTTTTCAAGGTCACTATCACTTAATTTAGGCTTGATAGACCCAGCTTTACAGAAAAAAAATCAGTCTAATGGTAATTCAAGCACTAAAAAGAACTCTCAAAAAGGATCACAAAAATGTAATGCTAATTCTCGTAGCATCACTTCGGAGGTTTCTAAAACTGTGAAAAAATCGAATAAACAGCTTTTAACCTTGTATGATAAGTTAGAAGTATTAGATTTTGTTCATACTATGGGAAAAAACTGGCCACAATCTAAAATTGTTGACTATTTTCAAGCACAATTTCCAAAAATCTTACAACCTTCTCTAAGTCATTGGATAAACTAAGAAGAAGAACTATGAAATCGAGCTAAAGACACATCTCAGCTCGCTTACAAATGTGTTTGCTATATTGCATTTCCTCTTATCAAAGAGTCCTTATCAGCATAGATTAAACAAGCAGAAACTCAGGGGGTTCAGGTTACTGAAGATGTCATCAAAATCAAAGCTTTACATTTTGCCAACTTACATGGCATTCTAAAGCATTCTTTTTTAAATATTTCTAATGGATGGTTAGAAAAATCCAAAGAACGTTATTCTCTCAAACAGTTTCAATTTTGTGGTGAAGCAGGGTTTATCTCGGAAGAAGATATTATCATAGCTCAAGAACTTGCACAAAGACAAACCACGGGTTATCAGTCTCATAATATCTTTAATATAGATGAAACTGCTCTTTTTTTCACTATGCCACTAGATAAAGGTCTTGCAACAAAGCAAATGTCTGAAAAAAAAGGAAATAAAAACTAGCTTACTTTAGCTTTTATTGTGAATGCTGATGGCTCGGAATGACTTTCACCTCTTTTTATTAGTTATTATCAGCATAAAAGATGTTTTTGAGAGAAGTCAGTGAAGGATCTTGGGTTTTATTACTTTTGAAATAAGAAAGGATGGATAATGAGCTTTATTTTTCAAAAGTACATGATTTTACTCACTTTTTTTAAGTTTATCTAATTTTTCATAGATATCTTGTTGATTTTGATATTGAAATAAGATGTCAAAACCGCCAGATTCTTCTTTTCGTTGATAATGCCAGGTCTCACCTTTTCGACAATAATCTACTAAGAAATGTTTATGTTGAGTTCCTCACACCAAATATGATATCTCATATCCAACCATTAGATGCTGGAGTTATCAAGGCCTTCAAAGCTTATTATTGTCGACTTTTTATTTTGAAAGCTCTTATTCAGTATGAAAATAATATATAAGATATTTACAAAATTAACCAGCTAAAAGCTATGCAACTTGTTGAACAAGCTTAAAGTTATGTTACAAAGAAGACTATCATAAATTGTTGGAAACACGCAGAAATACTTCAAAAAATCAATAATGAAGTTATACTAGCTGACACTGAAGATGCAGTAACTGGTCTTCAATCTGCTCTTAGCAGTCTTCTTTTAACCAAAACAATTGCAGAAACAAATGTTCCTACAATTGAAGACCTAGTTGAAGTCCAACAAGAGTGTATTACTGAAGATATTTTAATAGATGAAGAAATAGTCAAGGCTTCAACTTAAGTTACTATAGCTGATGCTATAAGTAATAAAGATGATGATGATGATGACGACAATGACAATGATATAACTGCTATGGATACGCCTATCATATTGATTAGCTCAGCATGTGTGACAATCAATGAGTTTGAGCAGTTCTATTTGTTGCAACCTGAAAATGAGTTTTGACAAGCTCAAGATTGTTTTCATAAAATTTGGATGCTACTATGTACTAGACAATAATCTTTATTAATTCAAAGTGATCTTAGACAATATTTCTCATGTAATCAAGGCAAGTTTCTCAGTAATATCTCGTCTTTAATGAAGAAAACTTAACAACTTTACAGATACTGATGGACATATTTGAGAGGTTTTTAGTATCTAAATAGTAAGTATTTCTTATATTAAATAATTTATTATCTATTTTCTATGTTTTCTTTATGAGTTTCTTTGTGAGTTACTTTTTTGTTGTATTGCTATGTTTTTTGAGACTTGCCAGCACATAGACTATCATGTTTTTTTGATTACGTAATCATTAGTTAGTTACTCTTGTAATGAATAACTCTTATAATGAATTAAATTTTTCACTTATGGACCGCAATTCATTATAAGAGGTTTGACTGTAGTATATTATATCTATTTGATTCTAGTAAATCAATGATGAAGTCCATTATAACTATTGAAAATGAATATATATAAGGATTAGCTTTAATTGGTACTAAAAAAGGTGCTAATAGCTATATATTAACTTTTATTTATTAATATAGTATATATTCTTATATATAACTTTTAACAAATATATATATTTCTGGCTATCAGAAATATCTTTGTATATTTGTTATTGTTTCAAAAATCTTTAGGTGTTTTTATAATAGTAAATCATAGTATAATTTGAGTAGTTTCTGTTTTAGTTCAAGATTTGCTAGTATGTATATTTGATTTTTAAATAATAGTAGTTTATCATTATATTTCCAGTCTATTAGCTTTTGTTTTAGTAGTGTTAACTCTTTTTTTATAAATCTTTTAATAACTTATTGTGCTATTTAATCTTCTTTATGAAAAGCAGTAAACAAAAGCAAACTGTGAATCATACTTGTTAAGACACAGTATTGAACTTGCAAGAAGTAAACTGGCACTAAGTACAGAGTACAGTGTCAGTGATGTGAGGGCAAGACAGTTGCCTCTCTATCACTAACTATATTAGTTTATATATTTACAACTAACTAACTAATCTAAAAGGAGATAAGTCCATATAAAGTTAGTTGTAGCTAAAAGTACTCTGATTGATAAAAACAAGACTTGGCATCAAGGGATGAGTTAAATAAGCGAATGATTGATGAGAATGATAAGTGATAAGAAAAATAAGAAAGATAAGAATGAATTAGAATAATCAGAACATTCCACAAGGGTTTAAGTCGATTCTAGACTTGTTGTAGCACTGTTAGAGCACTTATCTTAACACTCCCACCTGATTCTAGCAGTCTCCAACTCCAATCATCTTTGTAAACCCCTTGACTTTCATTCTCTCAAGTGCTTTAGTCATTAAGTCAGCTGGCATATTATCTGTCTTTAGATATAGAATTCTAATTGCACCTAGATTAACTTGATCTCTAAGCCAATACAATCTTAAATCAAGGTGTTTGATTCTGCTATAGTGTTCTGGGTTTTTAGCAACTTGAACCGCTGAATTGTTGTCTAAGAAGAGTGTAGAAGGTCCAGTAAACTTGTAACCAAGTTCTGTAAGCAAATAGCGCAGCCAGATCACTTCCTGTCCTGCAGTAACAGCTGCAACATATTCTACCTCAGTTATAGACAATGTTACAATTCCTTGTAATTTGCTAGACTAACTAACAGCACCAGTTCCCACTTTAATAACCATTCCACTAGTAGATCTCCTTGTTGACCTGTCTCCTGCAAAGTCTGCATTTGTGTAACTTGTAAACAGTTCAGTTTGAGAAGGATCAGGAGCATAAGTCAATTTGTAGCTCTTAGTGCCTTGTAAATAATGCAATAAGTGTTGTGCAGCTTTCCAGTATGCTATTCCTGGGTTAGAACTGAATTGACCAAGTTTCCCAACTGCAAATGAGATATCTGGACGTGTGCAGATTGCCAAATACATCAGAGAGCCTACAAGTTGAGCATAAGGGTAGTCATACATTTTAATTCACTCTTTTTCATTTGTAGGACACTGTTCTTTGGAAAGCTGATGATTTGGATCAATAGGAGTGTCCACAGGCTTGCAATCCGACATATGATAGTGTTCAAGCAAGTCCACAATATATTGGTGCTAAGACAGTGATAATGAGTGTTTGGAGCGATCTCTCTCTACTTGTACACTAAGAATAAAAGAGGTGGGTCCAAGATCTCTGAGTTTAAAGTGAGAACTGAGCTGAGAAAGTGTTTTTTGTGCATCTGAATATTTCTTAGTGGCTATCATCAAGTCATCCACATAAGCAGGCACAATAATGCGAATGTCTCCTTGTTTAAACACCCAAATAGCATGATCCACTTTGATTCTACTGAAACCTATAGAGAAAAGAGTAGAATCCAGCTTTTTGTATCATTGTCTACTAGCCTGTTTGAGCCCATACAGTGCTTTTAACAGTTTGAGTACATAGTCAGCACCTAGTTTATTGAGTCCTAAAATATTAGAACCTTCAGGCATATCCATATATACTTCATGGTCAATTTCACCATTTAGAAATGCATTAGAGATATCAGCTGAGATCAGTTCCAAGTCCTCTATTGCAACAAGGGCCATGATAGTTCTCAAAGCAGCCCACTTTGCAGTTGGAGAGAATGTCTCATCAAAGTCAAAACCAGGGCGCTGAGAGAACCCTTTAGCTACTAATCTAGCTTTGTAGTATTCAATTGACCCATCTGGCTTTCTCTTTAGCTTGAAAACCTATCTGTTGCCTACAGCCTTTCGACCTTGAGGTAACTCCTCTGCTGTCCAAGTTCCATTCTGTAACAGTGCTTGGATCTCTTCATGTGTAGCTTGAATCTATTGAGCTGCATCTGGTCACTTTAGCATCTCTTTCCAAGTTCTGGGTTCAGGTCTATATTTCAAGCACTTCTCCTGAGTCAATGACTGTTTGAATCTACTAGTAGCATTATAAACATGCTCATATGCTTCTTCAAACGTTAGAAACTCAGTTCTACAAAGCTGTACTGAGTGCAAAGTCTTCAACACCAGTATAAATAAGTTGTGCAATTTCTGCTTCACTCAATCTATTACTCTCTGTTTCAGCAAATTCAGCATCTTGCTCATCACTAGCCTGTTCATCTTGTGGCGATTCAGGCAGTGGTTGTGGAGTATGCTCTCTAGATCTCAAGTTCTGTCTATGTCCAATTTGTTGTTGAACATCCCAGAATGGTACTGGAGTTGTTTTAGCTCTTGTAGATTTTCTGAGGGGCAGTTGGCGTATGGGAGGAGCAGGAGTAGATGGTAATTGAAGAGGAGTAAGAGGTGTTTGAGGAGTAGTAGGGCGCTGAGGAGGAGAGAAGTGAGGAGACTAATTTAGAGTAGAAGGTGCAGATTGGATATTTTGGATTTGAGGCGCATTTTGAGGATTTTGAGAGATTTCAGGAATAACAGGTAACTCTGGCAGATGCAATTCACTACACTCTCCCACTGGATCAACAGATTCTGTTAATCCTGGGACATGAAGATCAACATTTGTTTTGGAAGACTCAGAATGTACTCTTTTATCAAATACAGCAGAGTTGCTAATAACTTCTTTTCTAGTGTCTGGATTGAAGAAGCGCCATCCTTTAAAGTTAGATGGGTATCTAATAAACACACACTTGTGTGTATACGACTCTAGCTGCTTTCTCTGATCAGATTTGATGTGTACATAGGCTGTACATTTGAAAACTCGAAAATGAGACACATCTGGCTTCTTTTTGAACCACAGCTCGTAGGGAGTGCTGTTTTGAAGTGCAGAAGTGGGGGATCTATTGTGAATATATGTAAAAGTGGATACAGCATCCCACCAAAAAGAAGGAGGCAAACCAGCCTCATTGAGCATTGTAGTGATTCCCTCTTTAATAGTTCTGTTTGCACGCTCAGCAACTCCATTTTGATGTGGTTCAGCTCTCAAAGTATGCATTCTCTTAATTCCAGAAGTAGTGCACAGTTCTTCCCATTCTTTAGACATGTATTCTCCACCCTTATCATTATGCAATGCTTTGATTCTAGCGTTTAACTGGTTTTCTACAAGTGCTTTGAATACTTTATAAGCAGCAAATGCATCTGACTTGTGTTTTAGAGGTGCCACAGTCCAATACCTGCTTGCATTGTCAATGAAGGTAATCCAGTAGTGGTATGCACCTATTTTGCTTTATACAGGTAGAGGACCATGCAAATCAGAGTGAATTAACTCCAGTAAGCCAGAACGTCGAGAATTGACAGATTTAGGGACATTTGCTCGAGTTTACTTGCCTGCAAGGCAGGGTTCACAAATTGGATCAGGGAGAGTGTCAGAATTGAGTTTTGCACCCAAAACAAGCTATTGTTTAAAAATGCTTTTGATGTCCTGCAAGTTTAAATAGCCAAAACGACGATGCCACAGTGTATAGTCTAATGGTACAGTGTGTGCCAGATTAGCATATTGGGTCATTGGTACAACTGCACCATCCAAAATGCCAGTAAACCTTGCATTTACAGTTGTAGTAAATAGTGTTTTATTGTGTCTCCTGAACAGCATCTTGTAGTAACAATGTATTCTTTGTTTTTAGTTAAATACAAGATAGATAGTAGATTGTTCTTAAGTGCAGGGACATGTAGAACACGATGAAATTCAAGTAAACACCCTCTTTTCCTATTTACAATAGCCTGAAACTTCACAGAGCCAATTTCAACAGAATAAATAGTTGTATCATTTGCCAGCTTCACTGGGATTCGCTGAGGCGTGTATATAGCAAACCAGTGGCGATGTGGGGTCATGTGGCAAGTGGCACCTGTATTTGTGATCCAATCAGCTGAAGCACTAAGCAGGAGAGGTGAATAGGGATTTGTGAAATCAGAGGTACTTGCATTTCCAGCAAATTCAACAGTAGCATCTTCAACAGCTTTAGCTTCTTCTTGTTTCCCTTTCCCTTTATTGTTCTTCAACTCATCTTTCCTCTTTTTGCTTGCATTCTTCATATCAAAGCATCGACTCAATTCATGACCATTTCTACCATAAAAAGTACACTGTTTAGACGCTTTAGAGGCCTTTGCACTAATAGGTTTAACAAAGGCTCTCTGTGCAAGATCAGAAGCAGACTGGTTTGTGTTTGCTTGTTCAAGTGCAAGAGCTTGTACCAAGTCAGACATGGAGAGTTTGGTGGTGATGAGGAGTGAGGTTCGAAGATTTGAGTATTTCTCAGTAGAGAGACCCTTTAACAACGCCATAGAGGCTAGTTCATCATCTAAAGACTCAAGAGTGAATCCAGAGTCTCTGAGAGCTTGAATGTCAATCAAAGAAGCCTTAATGCGACCTGCAAACTGGGTGAGAGACTCATCATCAGTTTTCTGCATAGAGAACAGTTTCTCATATGCATTAAAACGCTGGGCAGGCTTCTTTTGTCTATGAGCATTTTCTAGAGCAGTCCACATAGCAGAAGGTTGTTCTTTAGAGAGTTCAGCAATGAAGTGAATTCTCTGCTCATTCTCAACTGTGAGCTCAAGAAGTGCAATAGCCTGGTCTTTTCTAAGCTGATAGTTGTTATAACCAGCTAGATCTGCTGCTTTATCTGGGGTGGACTCTTTGCCATCAAGAATGCGCTATAGATTCATGAATCTAGCAATAGCAATAGTGTTACTTCTCCATATTGCATAATTGCTAGAATTCAGTTTATCATAATTGGGCAGTTTTAGAAAAGATGACATTGTGAGAGACTGAGTAAATGAAATTGAATGAAACTCGAGGGGCTAATAGATGACTAGTGCAACTGAATGTATGCACGACTACAAGTCAATCCAATATCTGTGAGAGCAGCAAAACTAGGAAACGCCCAAGATAGATTTGTAAATATAGATTAAGGTCAATGTACTATGATGCAGTGACCAAGTACCCTTTATTACTGCAGTATACACAGAAAAACCGCAAGACAGTGCTGGTCTCTTGGACTACTAAGTCCCCAGAGGCACCGCTGACTGAGAGAGGCTTATTGGCTTAAGTGCTACTGTTTCCAGATAGTACAACTAGCGAACTAAGGCTGGGCAGGCTAAGCTTCACAGTCTGTAGGTTTTTTCTGATCCAACAAACAATAATAGTACACAGTGAGCTTACAACACAGAAACATCAGAGCTGGTATTTACAAAGCACATGATAGGAGGGGAACTGCTTCACAGAATCGGATCGAACTTGAGAGGGGTCGAGGTGACAGGTGCCTCGAGGGTGTGTAGAAGTTTGGTGTAAATCGGGTTAGAGGGACCCGAGATACAGGGAAAAACGATTTGAAGTTAGATTGGAGAGATTTGAGATCTCCAAAAGAAAATGATGGATATCTCGGGAATGAGTAATTGGATCACGGAACGTGTTGGACGTGTGAGTTGGGTAACTCGAGACGAAGCGAACAAGGTGTGGCGAGCACGGATCAACAAAGAAATGATCGAGGAATCGAAGATTTACTGATTTGAGTGATAAGAATCAGATAACACACTAATAGTGCTTGCACACTAAAACTACAATAACTCGTCGAAGAGGACTCCTGTTGGGTTGCAACTCGGGGAGTGAACTGTCTAGAGGTGTTACTTGAAGTGTGGTTTGTTAAAGCGTAAGACTCATAATCTGTGAAAGGCAGTGAACAAAAGTAAACTATGAATCACACTTGTTGAGACACAGTATTGAACTTGCAAGAAGCAAACTGGCACTAAGTACAAAGTACAGTGTCAGTGATATGAGGGCAAGACAGTTGCCTCTCCATCACTAACTATATCAGTTTATATATCTACAACTAACTAACTAATCTAAAAAGAGATAAGTCTATATAAAGTTAGTTATAGCTAAAAGTACAGTGACATAACAAAAGTTTTTACACAAAATGTATTATATCACACCTTTTTTTTTGTTTTTACAATAACCACTCAGTCAATTATGCTAAAACAACTTAGAAATAAAATTTTACTCTAGAGAAATATAGACTTGTGGTTTTTTTAGCTGATTATATCTACCCTCATAATGTAATTGCTAAACAATTTAATTGCTTAGTAAAAACTGTCTATCAGATTCTTTAGAACCACAAAACTAGAGACACTTTTAAGGATCTCTCTAGGTCTAGTAGGCCTTTTGTTGAGATAAGTGCCCTAGCAGTGCTACAACAAGTCTAGAATCGACTTAGACCCTTATGAAATGTTCTGATTGTTCTGATTCTTTCTTATCTTTCTTATCTTTCTTATCACTTATCATTCCTATCAATCATTTGCTTATTTAACTCATCCCTTGATGCCAAGTCTTATTCTTATCAATCAGAGTACTTTTAGCTATAACTAACTTTATATGGACTTATCTCCTTTTAGATTAGTTAGTTAGTTGTAGATATATAAACTGATGTAGTTAGTGATGGAGAGGCAACTGTCTTGCCCTCACATCACTGACACTGTACTCTGTACTTAGTGCCAGTTTACTTCTTGCAAGTTCAATACTGTGTCTCAACAAGTGTGATTCATAGTTTGCTTTTGTTCACTGCCTCTCACACCTTTACCATTTGGATAGATATATGAACACTAGTAAATGTCAAACATTAGGTAAAATCACATATTTTCTCAATACTTCTCTATTTTTTCCTGTCTGCAAAGATACTGTTTCTAGGACTTTAAACTATTATCTTAGGTATTATTTATATTATGCTTATAAGAAACCCTTCCTCACTATCTTTCATATTAAAAAACAACTTGTGTAGACTAGTGAAGTTTGTCACTTTAGAGAAAAGGAGTGAAAAAGGATTATTTAGACTAATAAATCTAGTGTGGAGCT